ATTGTACTTTTATTGGACAGATCGGTCCTGAGTCACGATTTTCAGATCTGGAAGCTTGTATAACATAGGTTGTCCACCATGCTATATATAATAATATTATTACATGTAATAATATTATTATATAATAGTAATTATATATAATAATATTATTACATGTAATAATATTATTATATGTAATAATATTTATTTTATATAGTAGTATATAATAATTCAGTATTATTTACTATATATAATAATATAATAATCAGTATTTGGCCATGAAAATTTAGTTTATTAATTCTCATAACATGAAATTTTTTAAATAGACCTAACTAGTGGCTTTTTTTTTTGGTTTTTTTTTTTTAATTTTATATATTGAAATCTATAAAGGTTTTCTAAATTTTTTTTAAAAACCTACATGGTTATTAAAATATATAAAATTTTTTTTATAAAAATTTTCAATATTTGTTCTAGCTGGGTTACGAAAACTAATTAATTAACTTTATATAGCCTTAGTATTCTATTGTTTTATTAGGAATTTTATTTATTTTATTTATTGCTTTATTAAGAATTTTTAATACTAAATTATATATTCAGAAGTATATTTATTTATAGTAATACAGTAATTATTATATATAGTATAAAAACAATATAATAATAATTATTACATAATAAAAACTTATTATTTGTAATAATTATTATTACATATTAAAATATTATTACATTTTTACATATAATAAATATTATTACAATTATTACTTTTTGTAATAAATAATTATTACATTATTACATCTTGCAGTTTGAATTATGGCGCCAATCATTAAAGGTGACAAAAGGTAAAAAACTGATGAAACTACAAAGGTGACAAAACTAATAGAAGATGATAGATGATGAAGCAGATAAATGTTATTGAAGATAATATGAATAAAAATAAATTATGAAAATATAAAGTTAAAATAATTACTAAACTTTTATATATAATAAACAAGTGTAATTAAAGCTTTGTACTCGCAACTCTCTCCGTCGATCACTAAAACCAAATCTAGAGCTAAAGAAAAAACAAAGTTTGACAGTTATTTTACTAAAACAACAATAGAACTAGCTCTAAGCTAAAGAATAGAATACAAAAAAATAACTAGAGTTTCCTAGAATAACTTTGATCACTACATTCTCAAAAACGCACTTCTTGAAAGTTTTTTGGAACTTTGACAAATTTTTAAAACTTTTCTAAAAATTTGGGGATTTACTGTTGACCCTGTACTGCAGATCGCAATCTGACAAAACAAACAAACACGTTCACTTTAGACAAACAAACAAACAAACTAATATTTGTAGACAATCAACCAACACAACAAACAAAGACGTGTATTATCGAAACAACAACAAATATTACACATAAAATGCCTAATCTTAGTATATATAAAAACTTCTTTAATAAATCTGAACCTGAAAGAGCAGTAGTACAAAAAAAGCAAAATGAATTTATATGGGAACAAGATAAAAAAGTCGCAAAATACTTGGGCACAAGCGAATTTATCTCATCACAACATATGCAATGTCTTATAGCACTTTGACTATGCTCAATACAAGTTATCAAGTAATCAAACCCTAGAAGAAGAGGAAAAAGCTCTACTAGAATTCCCAACTAACAATACAACACAAGTGAAGAATAAAAAGGAAAACTACTCCCATTAAAGTCAAAATTGAACCTTCTTTAATGAAAGACTTAATTGTATATCCATCTGTGTTCTCTAAAGCAACCAATATTGATACGGAATATAAGAGTAAGCTCAAGATAGTGCCAAATAAAAATGAAGTTAAAGTGGAGCCACTCTCAATAGAAACAACTCTAGCAACACCATCTATTGAAACTAAAAACACTGTTAACAATATAGAATTAGAATTACAGAACAACCCTCGTAAGAGAAATATGGCAGAACAAGAAGTACTAACACCTACCCAAAAAGACTACCAGAAACTAGTTAAAGATATACTAGTTAAAAAAAAGTGTGGCATTAGTGATTACAGACTGGAAGAACTCATAAAAGAGGAACTGCAAACAGATGCAAAATCATCTAAGCAATTAAGTCACAAGAGATCTAAA